AGGCGCGCCCCGAGGCAGCGGTGCCGCTGGCTCCTCGCACCCTGCGGTGTCTGACAGCGGTTCCCGCACGTGTTGGCACCTCTGGCCAGCCCCACCGGTGGGTTACACTTTGCTGTGCCCAAGTACACACTGCCACGGATGTCACCACACGTGGTTTGCTCCTTCTCCTTCTCCTCCTCCATGACCAAGTCCAGCAGGGAAATACATTTCTCACAAGCGGCAGAAACCAGACTCTCTCACACCAGGTGTGCGTTGTGTGAGGGAAATCAAAAGCAAGTTATGTTTGAACCTGCAGTACCCACACAGCTTGACCAAGCCATAAAAACGCATCTGTGTCAGTACAGAGACACCCAGAAGTGTCCATTTGCTCCTGTGTGTGCAGGCATGTGCTTGCAGCGTGGTCTGAGCACTGCCTGGCACACTGAAGCCTCACTGCAAATTAGGGATGGGGGATTATTTTTTAGTTTCCCAATTGCAAACTAAGGATTTACCCATCCCTCCCACAGAGGTCTTGTGAGGATAAACGGAGTTATTTGAACATTTTGAAGGCTGGAAGTGCTAAGAGCCAGACGGGAGGGAGTGGTCCGGAGAAGCAAGGAAGCAGAGCGTACATTCAGTGGAGGAGTCGTTCCAGCTAATGCACAGAGAGCTCCCTTGCTCCCTGAAAAGCCACTCCAGACAATGCCTAACAGAGTGCACATATTGCAGAGCCTCATGTTTTCCTGGAAAAGCACAGAGCAGCAGTGGTTTTGGGCTCTGCTTGGGCTCTGACCGCTTGGAGCACCACACCACCTCCAACCCATGCCCATTAACAGAATTTAGGTCCCACTTTGCTCGCTCCTTTTCCTGCTCCATTCTTGGTGGCTTCCAAGGGCAGATGTTCCCACATCTCTCTTCCCCAAAATAAGGCAGGAGTGTTCCTTGTCCTTCAGGGGACTTACTGTACATTACCATTTATCATCTTCAGTCAATGGGGCACCCAACCCAAATGGCACCATCCTGTCGGCAGGCAAAACCCCCTAAGAAGTGCAGCAATTCATTTATCTCGCCAGCACCACATTGCCAAAGGAGATGGTAGGAAGAAAATGATCCATGGACTCTCACAGCACCCACCAAACACAACAGCATGTGGAGATACAAATACAGAGCACCCCTGAACTCAGCATGGCAGGCCAGTGGCTGAGAGCAGCGAAAGGGATGGATTTTCACACCCCTGTCACACATGGCCAAGGTCTCCACACAAGTGAGAGAAGGGAAAAGTCCATGGGCTGCAGCCAGAAAATAACCTGCACTTGCAATCCAGCTGCCTTCTAGCTAAGGAAGGTGTTAATAACAAGAAGGATTGAGTGGAAGAAGCAAAAAAGGCTGTTCTGGACACCCCAGCATCAAGCTTTCCATCTCTTCCCTAAGCACAGCAGGGAAGAAAGGCTGCAGAGTGGACCACCAGTATATTGGCATTTTTCCCACTAATTGAAGTTTCCACTCACATAAAACTATCCCATGCTAATATGTTGCACTTTCATTAAAATCACGTCACTTCAATTCTTTATATTTTTATTGTGGCATATAAATTACACTGCCCAAGAAAAAAAAAAAAAAAAAAAAAGAAAAGCCATTATAAAATGAAATTCTGAAATTAAGTGCTCCATTCTAACCAGAGAAAAAGGGAACGTTTTGAACAAAATAATTTGGCCTGTATATTTTTCTAAACAAAACTGTGTCACAACAAATGGAATCCTACAAAGGCCATTTGTATTAATAAAATGGTATTTTTGCAATAAAAAAAATTGCTGGCAAAGTGTTCAGCTGGTTTTATTAGTGTCATTAAGAATCCTCCCACATTCTCTTATTTTTCTGCAGCTAGGAAAGAGGTACATTCAGAATTTCATTATTTGAGAATGAGGCAATAGATAAAATAAAAAATAAAGAGCAATTTGTACTCCTATAATGGCTTCCTCCCCAAAGCTTCACAGCAGTTTACAAAAAACTCCGTGATTTAACCTCCTCTCTTGCAATGTAGCTATTCCTCCTTTTTATGGCTGGGAAAAATATCTCTTGAGAGAGCCTCTGTTCATTTCAAACATCTGCATTCTGAGTGCCAAGAGCGTGATTTACCACAGTTTATTGCGCTCCAAATCAGTGTCCAGGATAGGTACTCAGTATTTCTAGCAAAAAAAGACCACAGGCATCTCACATCAGCTATCCCAGACTCCTGGAATCTGCTACGGAGCTGGAGTGAATTTGGGACAGCAGGAAACTCAACCTCTGTTCCTTAGCTCTGGGCTTCTTCTCAATTTCCGGGCTCCAGGGCACAAGAGGCCGAGCCTTTCACCTTGTTCTAGCCTTTTCCAAAAACACACAGGGATAGTTCAAATGTTTTGTTAGGCAGGAATAAGCTCTTTGCAGAAACATTGACTGGCTCAATTCTCTTTTGTCCGTTTTACAGCCTCTGCATTCCTGTTGGGCGACACTTAAAGACGTAAAAGAATTCCCAGTATTTAAAAAACTTCTTATTTTTAATGTTTTCTGGTGCCAAAACTGGCAGACGTCTGTGCATGTATAGAAAAGGCAGGAAAGCAGGGCTGCTTCTGGGGAAGAAACGCTTCTTTCATTTCCTTCCCTCTTCAACATCGGTTGATATTAATTTTAAACCTGGCTGGCACTCCACAGTAAGGAGAGTGAAAGATCTTGTTCTTTCATCCAAAAAAGTATCAAATAGGTGTAGCTGCAATTTTAGAGCAACCCCGCTAAGCCATTAAGTTCCCAAAAGGACGCTGGCCTTCCTGGCAGCACAGGGTTTGCCATATCAGATGCAGCAGACTACCAGATCACAAAGCCTTACTGCTTCCTTCTAGCCATGACCTGTATTTCATCCTGTGCTTCAGAAGAAGATGAAAGGCCTTCATAATGCATCCTAAACATTACCATATGGAAAAATCTTGCAGCATTTAAAAAGGATAAGCACACAGGGTCCTGTAGAAATACTAGGACACTCTAGCATTCATTTCTAAAATCCCAGTGGGACAATTATAATGTCTCTAATTTTCTGTGGAGGGGAAGTTTATCCCTGATAGATCCTATGGGCAGTGGTGACGAGAGCTTTTCATCACAATAAGCACAGGACAGAACGCAAAAATATTCTTATGCCCAAACCTGTGAAAAATCGAATTCTGAACTCCACCATTTTTAATGCAGGTAGGCCAGGATTCAATTTGTACCTTAAAAATTGTATAATGACAGTAACTATAAAGACTCAGAACCAGAACAAGGACCAATGAGGCCATTAATAATAGTAATAAATGCGGTTCTGCATGAGGAGAACAGCCAAGGAATAAAAAAAAAATTAAAAAAAAAAAAAAAGGCATTTTAGAATATGTTATGTCCTCTGTAAAATTCCCACTGCATTTGAACAATGCAGTAGCAATTAAGAAGCAATTCCCTGTCTCGGAAAAGAGGCTGCAATCCACCTTGTGTTATCAGATGTTACCTAGGAGGTCAGGAATGCTCCAAATGATGCTGCTTGTCCCGGGCTCTCCTTGCCCTAGGGGCACAGGCACCAGCCGGGCGCCGGGAGCCACTCTGTGCCTCAGCAGCGGGGCAGGGGCTGCCCGAGCATCCTTTGCTCCAGGAAGGATAAAGGAAAGTCCACATCTCTGCCAGGCTGCGCAGGGAGAGCGGCAGGAATAAAAGCAGGACCCCTCTGGCAGGAGCGCGCCCCATGGCGTTATCTGCAGGATCACAGCTCTCCCTGGAGAAACGCTCTGCCTGGGAATGGGGGACATGCAGCTGGCACAGGCCCCTCTTCCAGGCTCCAGTGGCACGAGTCCTGCCTCACTGAGCACCACTGAAAGCCAGGAACCTTCCAGTCTCCCTCCTTCCCATGCGCCTCCAGCTGCCACAGGCCTGCAGGCGTACAGCTGCATTCTGAACAAATACACCAGACGTTTCTTTTCCTTGAATTTTTTCTTGAGCAACTCTGGAGAGCAAACTGCACAAACTGTCCTCGGTCGCACAGCTTCAATGCCCAAATCTTTTCCTCCTCAGGCAGTAAATGCAGCTATTGTTTTGCCAGTTGGTCGGGTTACTCTTTTTTTTTTTTTCTTTTTTTTTTTTTTTTTTTTGGGAGAGCCTCGTGTTGCTGCCAAGGTAATGCACAATGTTTCACACTTTTAAAAACCAGCCCGGGTTGTGTAACGCTACCCTAGCACCACCAAACAACAGGACGGTGTCAGCCCAGGGAAAAAACAAGCCTGGAAGCTAGAGGAGGGAAGATTAAAGCAAAGCAGCAGCATGGTTTTTAATTGTGCCTTAGAATTTCTAATCTAGTTAATGGTCCTTCCAGCCCATCCTGTGTAAAGACATGAGCATGTGGCATGTGCTGAAGGAGGATCAACACTGACACACTGACAGATGCGCTTATTGGCACAAGAGACTGGATTAGGTTTTGGACTGGATTTTTCAACTTGTTAGCTAGCCAGCAGTAACTTGCTTTTTTGGAGGGGAAGGGAGGGATCAAACAATTGCTGCAGTGGGATATTAGTTCCCTGGCACTTCATCTTCTTCCATTACAGATTCTCTGCTTGAACATGAGACAATGCTGCCATTCCTTCCCCCTGACTCACTGGCAATTCTTTATCCATCTCTGGTTGGCTGCTTTGGAGATTTTTTTGGCTGGAATTTGATCACCCCCACCTGCCCTTTTATTCTCTCTCCATATTTTTCAACACTTCTGTCTCCTTCATCACATCCCAAAGCTCTGCTGTGTAGTGAAAGCCCGTAAGTTAACCAGCAGTTCAATACATTAACCTCGGCATCATGCAATTTTCCTTGCCCTTTTGAGGAAGATGAGGAGCGAGTGCCTTGTACCGCAGGCACGCCGGCACGCGTGGCAAAGAGAAGGTGGAAAGCGGCTGCCTGCCGAGAGGGATGCAGCTAATGTTTAACAGCACACCTATGAAAGCCAGCTCTGTTCACATTCCTCGGGAGAGCCGTCCCACAGGTTGACAGAGGGCTGCTCACAGAAGAGGGCAGGAGTAACCAAGGAGAACCAAATTCTAGCCGGTGGGAGAGGTGGGGGATTGCAAAAGTCCTTGGAGCCCGGCCAGGACATGGGTTAGAGGTTAGAAGTGCCATGGGTGCTCTTGTTCTGACAGCAGAGTGACGCCTGAGGTGTCATGCCCTCCTGCAGGGTTCACAGCTTCCCGGAATCTGAGCAGCAGCTGAGCAGCTGGGTACGCAAACATCTCCCATCCAGCCCCATGAGTTCCCAGGCCCGTCCCCCTTTGCCATCTCGCCACATTCCAACTACACAGGTAAGTGCAAGGGGGTAGGTGTTTGGGACAATGGTGGCACTGTCACTGGACTACACTTTTTGATAAACCTTCTGTGTTCTTTCACTCTTCCCTACTTTCCCTCTGCTGAGTCCTGCGTTCCACGTGTTTGGTCCTCAGCCCATGGGACCAATGGTCCCACAGGGAGAAGCCACTGCTAGGACACCACATCAGTGCTTTGAGGGTGGCGGGAGCAGGCACTGTGACTTCCATGCAGCACAGCAGAGACACCACAGCCAGGGTTGCTTGCAGAGGGGTGCTTGTGCCTGGCTGGGTCTGTGGCTCTCCTGCAGCCACCCAGCCCCAGGGCTGAGAGCCTCTCAGGGAAGCTATTAACGGAGCAAAGGGTCAGGCTGGGACACCACCCCTGCTTGTGGCAGCAGTGCCAAGGGACATGCTTCCAGAAGCCAGCAGCAGTCTGAGAAGCCCTTGCAAATACCTGGCTCCAAAATAGACACACTGGTTGCTGAGCCTGCACCCTCCCCATGGAAGGTGAATGCACACGCTTCCCTAGAGCAAACAAACAGGAGCACACCAGCCAAACTCCTGCCTAGCCCACAGGAGTAGTTCCAGGTGAGGAAGAGAACAATTCACCCACCTACAGATGAGACTGCAGTACAAACAACCACACAGGACAGAGGTGAGCCACTAGAAGGGGCCAGTTAAGCAGGCAATAACAAGGTCTGCCCTGCTTCCACCCTCCAGAGAGCCACCAGCCCTCAGCCTGGGGGACTGTGTGTCCCAGGAAGGAGCCAGACTAGCTGCCAGGAACCTCACCATCCCCTCTGAGGGCTTAAATAGCTAGCATGCCTCCTGCATGTCCACACGGCCAAGCTGCTCCTTCAGTGGTTTTCCAAGCACAGTGTATTTACTTTTTAATTGGGTGAGCAGAAACAACTGACCCCAGAGCTAGTAAAGAGCAGGAAGGGGCTCATCAAGTTATACAGCCCCCTTGGGCCAGCATTAGCACTGCTGCACCCAGCTGTGCTCTGGCTCCATGTTCCATGGGAGGGTTCAGGGTCCCGGCGGGCCCCCAGGGCACAGCAGGCATGTCACAGAAATCTGGCCTGTGCCCACAAAAACTACAGCCTACAGCCAGCTTTGTGCTGTAGGCTTTTGCTGGCAGAACAGCGCCATTGAGGTGTGTGCAGGGATGCAGCCATCCAGCTTGCCAAAGCAGGATACACCTGCAGCCCTGGGAGCATTGTACCTCCCCAAGGAAGATCGGCAGGCATTTCTCAGTCCAACATCCCAAATATCATCACATGGGTTTTGCTGAGCAGAGGTCTGAGCAGAGAGCTGGCTGGTCCCTGGAATAGGTGGCTGGTGGTGAATCCTCTATCCAAAACTGCAGGTGGTTGGCCCAGGGCACAAATGGCAGAAAAAGCATTGATAATTCTGCAGTGAGAACAGAGGGATGCCAGTTCTCAACCTGACCTGCAGTTCTGAACCCCGGGTTCAGCTCCCTGTTCAGGGACAGAACAACCTGTCCTCACTCACAGCCCTGCTCAAATCTGTGCCCTTCAGATCCAAAACAAACAACAGCCAGTTCCTGGTAGGACTGAGGAGCAAATAGCAGGGCCATCAGCAAGGGCCAGGTGGGAGCTTCTGGCTCTAAGCCTCAGGGAGCTGGGGAGGAGGAGGAGAAAGCTACACAGTGATGGGAACATTGCTCTCCAGAGAAGGGGTGCAGCAGGGGTGGCAGAGAGTGCACAAGTGAGTTCATAGCTGCCTGTCAGGGAACCAGCTCTGCACTTAGGAGATGTTTCCTTGTGCCAGCTATAGGTCAGCACCTACGGGATCAGCAGCATGACAGCAGGAGCAGTAGGCTGCCACTTTCTCCTGGTGACCCCGGGTGTTCACCCATCAGCACACTTGCACTCACACACATGTAAAAGCCCCAGGCCATCTGCTCTTCTTCAGACTGCAAAATTATGTAGTTTGAAAAGCCCTAAAATGCTGATTCCTCCCTCAGCAGGGACACACTTCTCCAGAAATACAAAAGCATGAGTCCATTGGGGAAAAAGAATATACAGGACTGTTTTACAGTGTAACCGTCTATCAATGCCATGTGGGATGCTGCTGAAAGAATTTTGGAACAACTGTGAGACTTTTTGGATGCTCAAACACTGAATGAGTCAAAAAATCATCTGTGTCCTACAGAGAAACATTTTAGAAAACAAAGCAATTGGCTTCTAGCAACATGATGTAACCTTGGTTTTTCCTCCCCCTATTGTAAGTGCATCTCTGGGTGTTTGCCTTTAAAGCTGTATCCATTAATAATGTGCCTCTATATTTATTTAGAGATATGTCAAACAAGGAGTGCTTATCCGTAGCTCCAGGCAACCCAACAATTTTAATACATAAACAGCTATATAAATGAGTCTCATAATTGTCCAACAAAAGCTTCAGCAACAAAGAACCCCATAAGCACACCATCTCTGCTCAGGATGCTCAAAATTCGGCATCCACTTCAGCAGCCAAGGAGAACAAATAAGCTTTCCAAGGGAACCAGCTCGGGTTATTACAGATCAAACAGAGGAACAAGTTGTTTGCCTTTCCTTAACTTAAAAAAAAAAAAAAAACACCCACAAATGGAAAAACATGGGCCAGTTTTTCAAGCAAGCTCGGCACGTTGCCCGCCTAAATTACACTTACATGCAAGTGCATGCAAATGTGTTGTTTCCCTGGTCATGTGCCTGAACTGCATCCACATTTTCCTCAAATGCCTTCTGGAACGTGACAGGACATGCACGAGCAACCTCCCCATCCCTTCAGAAACCAGAGCATGGGCATGCTGGTGGGAACAGAGGAAACACCTGCATTCCTCCACAGCACAAATGCAGCCAAAATAATGATGAGTCTGAAAAAAGCCCGACCGAAGGCAAAGGTCAGCTTGCTGGGACATTGTGGAGCAGAGGGGGCTCGGCTTGGTGCTTGGCAGGAGAAAGCCTTATGCCCTTGTGCTTTTAAATGTATTTTCCTGCAGGATATGGGGAAAAAAGCCAAATAAAAACAAGCAAACATTTTCAGCTTCTGCTGCAGTTCTGTAGAGGGGTGACTAAACACTGCTGGCAATAGCTCAGCCCCCATCAGAGCCTGCTGCTGTATCCCTTCCAGAGAGATGGAGTCTGCCTGCCACTGAGGCAATGGAGGTGCACAGCAGGGCACAACGTGGCACCTCTGTGTCACAGGCAAGCAGCTGTGCCCCTGTGCAGTGCTTTGTGCCAAGCCCTGCTCCAGTGAAAACCCAAACAACGCACTTGCTGAAACCTTGCAGGACCTACTGTGCACATCCCCCGAACGTGAAATACCAGTGGTGAGATGTGAGCTCCTGCTTTTTCCCCACAGGGAGTTGCTGCTGATCTCTCAGCTGGATGTCACCCACCCCACACAGGGGACTGAGGGAAAACACCTAAGGCACCAAAGGAGGTTCAGCTTCCATACCTGCTTTTCTCTTCCTTCGTGGGAGTTACATGCAGAAGAATCATATGAGAGGGCCACAAGAGAGAGGGGTAAGAAAAGCTTCAGTAGTTTAGCTTAGACATCTGGGGTTTTTAATCCTCCTCCCTCTGTCTGTCTGATGCTCAAAGGAAAAAATAAAGTGCTTGGACAGGCCAGTTTGGTGTGAGTCCCTGTCCCTCCCTTCCTGCTCCCCCTCACTGCAGCACAAGAGGAAAAACACTTGAAAGGCTAGGGGTGGCCTCAAGGATGTCTACTTTGCCTCCACTCATGCCACTCTTTTCCTTTTGTATCTTTTCTAACATCCAAAGAGGAAAAAGGCAGGACCATCTCCTGCACCCAGGTGCCTTTCTCACACACACACAGACAAGCACATTCCCATTGAAAACAAGACTGCAGTGCATTGAACTTGTCCCTGAATGTAACCCTTCTGGCTTGAACAGCCCTGCTGGCTCCTGCCCTGGGCAAGGTTTCAGTTTCCCTGTGGCTTGATGACGTGATTTGGGCAGGATTTATGAGGCTTACAAAAAAACACAATTAAATCTAAGGGGCAATGAAGGGGATTTTTTTTCCTTCTTTTTTTTCCTCCCTTTTCATTGCTTGCTTCTAGGACTAAGGCAAAAGTTGAATTGGCAGAAGCTGGCTGTGTTGGCTGGAGCCTGAATTTCTAGCCAAAGATGTTTTCTCCAAGTCTAGTTAAATTAATTTCCTTGATTTTTTTCAAACATTTTCTTTGCTCTAAGTGACTGAGAAGCCATTGATATTTCAGTTGAGGAGCAATCACAATACAGGACCTGAAGGGCCAAAGCCATCTCTGCTGTAACTGTGGTGTCTGGCACTGCAGCTGCCACCGCTGAGGGAAACAGCTGAGGTGGACATCTTGGAAGATAAGGCAGGTAGGGAGAAGAAGCCAGGTTGGGACTGAAATATCCCCTCTGCTTCCAACAGATAAAGAGCCATCCCTTTGGGAAGAGACCTAGTCGGGTCCCCGTCTGACCCAGAAGGCTCGAAGAATGGATGCACCCAAATCCAACAGAGAGGAGCATGACCTCCACTGGAAAACACACATGCTGGAAAAGAAAAAGCTCATGTCCCAGCTTTGTGCTTTGAGTCCTGTTCAATAAATAATAACAGAGTATGCTGGAACCGTGTCAGCTATGTCATTTCAGGTGAAGAAGGCTTGTGTTTTCTAGGTACCAGCTCTGTAAACCCCCAAGGAGCAAGGTGCCAGGGCAAGCAAGGGTCACACGGTGCTCAGCGAGGCACGTGTGCACCCACAGCCACGCCTGCCCAGGCAAATGCATCTCTCTCTCCTGCAAAAACTAAACTTCAGATCTTGTGGGCTGATTTTCTTAATCCAAAAGCAAAGGTCAAACAGAAAGTATGTGGCTTTGATTTATTTATGAAGAACCTTAGCCATCAGACTTTCCAAAATCATCAGCAAATTCTGCACATCCGCATTTAAACCCCTCAGAAAGGTGTTGTGCCCTGCCCTTCCAAAGGCCCCCCTGTTCAGGTGTTGGGCTGGCAGTGTCAGGAGCCAGGCACAGCACCAGCCAGCCTGGCACAGCCCACAGCAGAGCCACATCCACCAGGAGAGGGGACCCGGTGAACTCAGACACAGCGCATCCTCTGAGGATGTCAGCTCACTTGAATTATTTACTTATTTCTTATGACATTACTGAAAAGGAGAGTGAGAAAAAAAAACCCTCCCAACTCGCCTGAAGAGGAAATGAATAGGGAAACTTTGAGATTCCTCATCCCTTCAAAAAGCCCCTCGGTGAGCACCGCCGCCGCAGCTGCCCCCGAGAGGCCTTGCACCACCTCAGTCCTGATACCAACAAGGAAGTACCAACAAGGCACTTAACCACACAGCCAGTTTCTCTTCTAAGCCTTCGGGTTGCCTCAGAAGTTTTTTAAACAAGACGCTTTCCTGTTTTTGAAACCTGTGCATCCGTATGGTTTGCAGGTTACTCAAATAACCTTATCACTTGGAGCAACTCTGGCATGAATTTCAAAACTGCTTACTGCAGTGCTCCCCTCCCCTCTCCACACATATCTATTTACTCATAGGGAGCCTTATTTACAGTATCTTCCTGCCAACTGCTGACACAGAAGAAAAAAAAGCCCTGGGTTACACATTAAGCTTTATCGTTGAAGTATTCATGCCAGACGGTGTCCAAACAGAGTTAACTGACTGACCTTAGCTCAGGGTAAGCCACACAAGGGGGAAATTTCTATCGCAATCTGCTTGCACGGGCAGAGCTCGTTTCGCACCACCAGCTTTTTCATCTCCTCCCCCCCTTCATCTGGGCTGAAAAGGCTTTTCAAAGAAAACATGGTTTTGTTTTCAGAAAGCCAAGTAGAGCTGGCTCCTTGTAAGTTCATTAAAGGAGGAATTACCAGAAGGAGACGTTTGCAGGTAAACGTTAAGGCATGGAGAGGGGCTGCCTGTACAACAAATCCTGATCTAAAATCCACGCAGCCTGCAAGTCAAATTCAATTCTTCTGTCAAAAGTGGGGAAACGAAGAGGACTGCCATGCAAGAATATGCTGTCCAGAGGGTCTGGAAAATTCAGAAATCAGCTTCACTACGTCTGTTTTGCACAGCAGCTTTGGAAAGATCTGCCAAACATAACAGTTTCATTTGACAGTCATCTTTTGGCTTAACTTCTGAGCTGGCTGATGGCCATCTCCCATTGCACAATAAATGCCTGCAAAATTAATCATAAACTCCCTGCCTGGAACCCCCAGTGCTGCTCTCCTGAAGGGTACCTGCAGCCTGCTCCAAAACCCTGCCAGTACCTCAGGCCCTGTGTTCATTAATGGCCCAGCCAGCGAGGGAGGACAAACCATCACAAAAACAATCCACGAACTTTATTCTTCCACTTCTTCAATCTGTTGGCAGAGCCATTTACTTCTGTGTACACTTCATGACAGCCACACCACAACCCGGCACAAAGGCGCTTATCTCAACCTCACACTTCACATCCTTTCTTCTCACAGCTAACACTTGGCTGGTGAAGAAAGTTGTATGGCCTGTCTTGGGGGAAAGAAGCACCAAGAGCTGCTTAATCAGATTAACCTGTCCTGGTCCTCTCTCACCAGTAAATTCGCTGCCACCAATTCGGCAGGGGTGCGGTAAGGTCCCCATGCTGCAACACTGTCTGCGTGTGTTGGTTTTGTCAGCAGGGACTCGTGGGAATGCAGACGGAGTGGGTTTGTTGTTGGCGAGAAGTTCTGGCTGGCCAGCCCTGCCACGGGAGTGTGGGGCACGGGGCATGGGTGGGACATCACTGCACTTGCTCCCTGAATAAACCACACCCCACTTCACTGCTCCGCGTCCCCTTCTGTGATTGAAATGACTTTCTTCTGCCAAGCAAGCTGCTCTGCACTGGGGAGGAAAAGCCTCTGCTCCCCACTTCCCATCCTCAGCATGCAGTGCTAGCACTCGGGGAGTGCCTTTCCCCGGAGTTCCTGTCCCACCGCAGGGGTGCAGCCCTTGCTCTGACAACCTCCTTAATGGATTTGCACCTCGTTTGCAGCAGAGGTCTCTCCCTCCGTGTGCTCACCGGAGCTCTCAGGCTCCCCAGACCCTCTGAGCACACTTGGCTCTTGCCCAGATTGCAGCGGGCAGCTGCTGTCACATTCCCAGCCCTGGGCTTTCCAGCAAGGATGGGGCCATCAAATCCAGGGTGCCATCTCCTTTTTTCCCAGCAACGCTAATTAAATTGCTCGTTTTAAAAAGTAAGCGAATTGCATTCCTGCTACGTTAATTAGTTCCTCCTATGCAGTTTTCTTCTTCCAATAGACTAAATTGAATTGTGCATACAAACATCCCGGGAAAATAACAAAAAAAAAAACCCAATCAGGATTTAAACAGCTCCAGAAGGGAGCACGAATGTATTTCCTAATATGTCTAATAACAAAACATAAAGGTATAAAACAAATGTGATTAAAACCAGAGAAGCAAGCAGCACACATTTTATTGCTATGTTTTCACTTTTTATTTCTTTTTAACAAGGATAAAAAATAACTTGTGCAACCTCTGCCAGGAAGTGAGTGGATCTTTGAACTCTGCCATCTGGCTAGTGGAATCCGTATTTTTGTTGCCTCAGGTTACAGGTTAATCCTGCCAGTTTTTATTATTTGTAGAAGTAGTTGGCCTCTTGGAAGCTTTTATGGTCTCTGTCACAGAGAAGATTGCCGGTGAGCAAAATGCACACAGAAAATACTGGGGTCAGTGTGGTGAGGACATTGAGCAGGGAGAGAAAGAGAGGGGGGGAAAAAGGCAGTTCTGTCTAATCTAAAATTATCCTTTTTATTACAAGAGAAGACGTTGCAACATGTGCCGGCCAATTTGCCTCACACTGCAAGTCAGCGCAGACAGGAAGGCTGAGCCTCCCTGCTCATGGTGGAAGTCAAGCCCGAGCATGCCCAGCAGCTGGGGAGACCCATGTGATGACAACAGCATCCAGCTCCATCTGGTGATGTGCTCCAGCCCCCCCGGGCACTTTTCCATCTAGTCTTGCAAGCAGCTGGATCAATTTACTCTAGCCTACGGTGCATTGCACAGGCACAGACTGAAATTATTACTCATGGAAATCCCCTCTGTCTCAGTGCTTTGAACAAGGAATCAGGTAGCTTTCAACCTCCTGACAATTAATAGCCTTTGGTCGAGGGAGAGCAGTGCAAAAATGCTGGAAGGGATGGGTTTCAAAACAGCTTGCTTAGTTTCTAGTAAATTAAAGGGAGTGGGTGGTTGAGGTACACAGTAATATTATCCAGCCCAGTGTGGTCTTCACTGACGTCAGCAGGACATTTTTTCCCTTCCCTTTCCCTCTGTCTGCCTGCCTCCTGAAAAGAGACACATGGAGGCTAACGCTGTGAACAGAAGCGTGGCTCATACACCCGGAGAACCTCCAGCTTTCCATCAACAAAGCCAGAGCGCAGATGCTACTACGTTGCAAATGAGCAGCACCAAAATATATGCAAGTCATTTCAGAGGAGGGAAAAAGCTGTTGGAAACAGAAATCATGAGGACTTGCAGTATGTATTTCTCTTCATGTTGCATGATTAACTGTTTTGACTAAGACAACGCTCTTCCTGTGGCTAAGAACACATCCTCATCTCAGATTTTGCTTGAAATAGCACATTTGACCATGACCCCTCCCCACAACTGCTGTGCCCATCCCAGCAGAGCTCTGTGGTGTTTGCAACTGTGTTTTCTCAGTCTCACTGAATACATCATTTTCTCTCGGGCCCCTGTACTGTAGGCTGGAGGCATTATACAATAACTGCCAGTTTTGCATTGAAAATATGCCAATAAGTTCAGCAGAAAAATTCCACCATGCTTTCAGCAAACGTGATTTCTGTGTACCATTGTGCACTTGCAGCCTTTTCGTGCACTTCTCTTTGCATATTGAATAAAAGGTGATTGGACAGCAAATAAAAGATGTACAACACTGAGATGCTGCAGGTAGGAAAAATGAACCCTAGGCTCGTAGACATCACCTTCCAGGTGAAACATAACACTACAGTGCCCACCACATTTACTGTGTCAAAAATACAAAACACAGAAAGCGTCCAGGCCAGAATTTTTTTAGGGTTGCAAAAGACAAAGGGGACTTTTTTGTAACAAAAAATGTGTACTGAAGCTGCTGTGCCAGGTTCTGACTCAACACAGACACATGCATACGGCTCAAAGTGGAAGATTTTTCCAGTAATTGAGTGGACTGAATGAGCTCATCATGACCCACTGAGCAAGTTTTCTTAGTATTCGTTTTGAGCAAGAGAACAGCTTTGATCAGTGTTTGCACTCATTTGACTTTTCCCCTGTTCCCAAACTTTTGTTCCTTTCATGAAACACCCGTTCCATTCGGCTCCTCTTGGTGAAAGGAGGAATTTTTTCCTAAGTGTGGCCACGGGACTTAAGTAAATATCACTGAAGCGCTAAAAATCCAATGTATTAATGAAATGATACTGCAGGCATTGTCAAGTTGCAGGATCTCCAGAATGCGAGCAGAAGAGTACTGTCCATAAAAGCCAAAAGACACGGTCGTTCCACAGAACACTGCAGACATAGACAAGGAATCCTTGTGCAGGAGGCTGAGGGGGATGTGTGAA